TTGTCTATCTTCTCAGTCGCACAGCTCATTGCATAGCACTCCATGCCTTTTCTTTTCTCCTCATGTGGCAGCATGTATAAATTGCTGTAATAGCTGTATACATCGGAATACTCTATGTTTTTGTACCTACTGTCATATGTGTACACATCAGGCGCCCTGTCTTCAAACTCCAATGAGTCGATCAGAGTGTGCTCTTTTTCCTTGATGAAAGGCCCTAAATCTACTGCAGACTGCATCAGAGGAGTGAGGAAGAGCGGCATGGCAATATTCCCTTCAGCGTGAGAATAAAAGGGGACAAACTCTGCAAATGTAAACTTTGTCTTTTTTGGATCTTCCTCAATGCGGTAGAACACCACTTCGTACTCTCCCAACTCTTCCACTCTTTTATTTCTCTCTTCTTTCTTTTTGACGTACGACCACTTCTTATTCTTTTTGTGTACCTTGAAAGGATGCACAGAATCTGAACTGCCAGCTATCTCATACAGCTCTTTTATATACTCTATTATGTCCCTAATTGTGTGCAAATAATACTTGTGTCCATCAGCGTCTACGTGCATAGGCATGCAGAGCATCCTGGGCTGGTGTGTTGTATTGTCCACATAGTAAATGTGATAGTGCGCATGAACATCAGGTGAAATGCCCCATCTGTTCTCCTCCAGTGAGTACTTTGAGGCCAATGCATGCTTGCCTGCATCTTTCTGTGATGTGTCCAATACTGCCTCGCACTTCACGTGTGTTTGGTTTTTTATTATGAACTTTCCCTGCAGAATGTGTTTGTTTCTTTTATCAAATGAATCGCTCTTCTTGTAGAAATTAGCAATAACTGCGTGCATGCCCTTGTACAGCTCAACTGTTGTTAGTTTCTCCATCCTTTCTTTGCCAAACATGCTCTCAAGAGCGCTGTAGAGCCCTCTGTACAGGCTGCCATCCATCTTCTCCCGTGCGTGCATATACACCAGATCTTGTATTTTCAGCAGAACTTCGCAGAGCTTTTTGTCTTTAGCCGTGTTCTCTGAAATCAGAGTATTTTTTATGAACTCTGCATCGATTTTGCAAAAGTCCATGTACACTTCAGGCAGCACCAGAATCATCCGCACTGCACACGCCAGAGGATGGTACTTCCTCTCTACTTGGTCGGCCCAGGCGTCTTCCTTGGGGTTGTAGTGCTTCGGCTTGAGATGCTCTCGCGTGTAAATGTCTCCCAGCTTCTCACTCCATAGGTGCAAACACCCATTTTGGAAAGTTCTCATGGGCTTGTGCTTGTCCACATACGCTATCATCTCATCAATCACCCCGGGATAGTATCCCTTAAACTTTTCTACCATTTCCCTGTGCTCATTTGCCTCTTTATCGCTAAGTAGCGCCTTGAGCCCCAGAAGGTCTCTGTACTTCAGGTTTATAGTTGTAGTCCTGCTGGCAATGAAGTACCATAGTAAGTTCTCCTCTACCACCGGGGCAACTTCGGTGGAAAAGAAATGAATGTCCCTTTTAAGCTCGTTTTGGTAGAACTTCTGTTTTATTTCCCGCGTGATGCTTTCATTGGGGATTTTGTAAGTGTATATTTTGTTGTAGTGCACTTTGTACCCTCTTCTCCGCGAGCTGAAGAGCCTTCTAAAGATCCACAGCTCGATTTCCAGCTCAATCTTCTTCTGTATGGCCTGCAGCATTCCATTGTCTATCACTTGGCTGTTCACAACAAGCGACTTTTTAGCTTTTGCTGTGCTTCCAGGCTCTCCTTGCATCTGGATGCTGCCAGAAGCTGCTTTTAACAGATTCTCACTTTTTTTATTTTTACACTTCTCTATG